CAGTTGTTAATATTTTTTTTTGTTTAGGTACGTCTTTCTTCTTTTGTATTCAGTCTCCACGCTGCATCACTTTGGTCGACGATCTACTTGCTACTTTAAAGGAGCTGTTGTTATGTAAACCACTGCTATCCCTCATTCAAATTGAGGCTAATAATCATGAAATATCCAAAAAGCTGAAGAAGATCGAATTATTCAACAAAAAATTGTAACGCGATTTTCGCGTTAATAATAATGAAAAAAATTTTTGGGAGAAATCACGCTCTCTGCCGCATCGATTAGGTCCGCTAATTCCCTACGCGTGGGGAGTTAAGGTTATAGTACTGAACCTCAGCTCCCAATGAGACTCCTCTGTCGGAACACTTGGTTCTCCACTCCAGAGAACTGTTCCACGTTAGACGGGGCGGGCATTCAAATGGCCAGGGGTCCAGATAAGGGGTTAACTGGACAGCCTGGTTGGGGACATTGTATATGCGATTCCTGTGAATGAAGTCGTCATTACTTTCTTCCCTCTACTCATCATCAAATGCCACAAAGTATCATAAATGAAGGTTTTTCCTGATCCTCCAAGTCCATCAATGAAAAAACAAGTACAACGTGTTTCGTTATTCACATCTTCGATATTTATGATTATTTCATCCATAATTTCTTTCTGCTCTTCATTAAGTTTTTCATATTGCTCTTGCCCCCGTGCTGATAGATATTCTAAGTCTAATTCTTCTCCTCCGTTGTCATCTATACTCAATACCTCAGGCATATTACTATAATCTGCAAGAGTTTTATCTGCTTCATTCAATATTCTCTCAATTTCGGATAACGTTCTATTTTCAGCTACTGCTGGTGCCATTTCTTTCCTAAAATCATCTGACATCAAAGTTTTAAATTCATCCCATAGTTTATTTGGATGTAACGGTTGCCAATGAATCAAAATGCAAGCAAATAATTGTCTCAGAGCGCGTGGCATCATCCACACCTCGCCCTCCTCCATTGCCCTAGTCCATTCGTGATCATCTTCTATGAATCCTCTTTGTTGACATGCTTCAGTGAAAGTCGAACATAATTTACCATTCACAATACTTAAATCATTGAAACTGTCAGCTCCTTTAACATTACATAATAATAAACACAAATTAAATAATTCGACTTGTGATGGGTTGATGGAATACATTCTTCCAATAACATTGAAGCTTGATTGTCTCCGCTGCCAGCCAATTACTTTATTATTGAATTTCTTCTTGTTGAATGTATAATGTGCGGGAATATCAATGTACAAATAATGCTTAGCACTTTCATCTCGAGCATTTAATGCAAAATAATCTAGTAAAATATTTTGTTGTTTTAATACTCGTTCTACCTCACATTCTTCTCTACCGGGATTTATAGTTATATTTTGTTGATTTGGAAGATGTACAGGTAAACGAATAACGGCATGACTTTTAGCATGTAATTTCTCTCCTAATAAACGCCAAGCGGCCTCAACCGGGCCTACATAACGACTATCAATGTGCTGCTTAATTTCATCGTGCTCGATCGTATTTGTTCTACAATTACCTTCAATTACAACGTCTGCAGCATCATGAGATTTGTGAATGTATTTATAAGAATATTTGACAGCTCTAATATTCGATACAACTTCTACATTGCAATGACAATTCAATTTCAACAATATTTCTGGACTATAAGGTACAACATACCTATTATCAACTACGTAACCACCTTGTTTTTCATGATACTTTTCTGTATTCTTTCTACGGTAGCAGGGATACCCGTCGTCATCCATTGTAGTCTCGTCTTGAAATTCTTTTGGGAAATTTTTGGAACATCTATTGTTAACCCAACACCAATCACCACAAGGCACATGAATCATATTTCTCATAACTATGTCATACAAATCTGGTTGTTCATTTTCGTCAGGTATTTCTGCACAAATGAATTTATCCACAATGCATGGACGAGTTAATTTATAATTTCTTTGTAAATTAACCAGCATATGAACATGAGGTAGTCCACGTTTCTGAAATTCTATAACCTAAATCCAGACTAAAACTGTTCCAAATATTTCCTCAGTTATGATCAGCTCTATTGAATGATCTTTTTTCAATTCGAAAACTCGCGCAATTATATCAGGACGATCACATGGCTGTTGTCCTGGATCAAGATTTTCCAAAATTTCTCGCCACTTAGGATTACAGGTCATAGTGATGAATAAATCCGGTTTTCCATATTTCCGTACTATCGCCATGGCATCTTGATAGTTTTGTGCCATATTTCTTGGTGAACCAATGAAAGTTGATGGCAATATAACAATCTTTCCTACTCCCATGTCATTTTCCTCTCCTTTCTTCTCCAGATAATCTCTGAGGCCCTGATACGCTTCACATTGAAGTTGCTTTTGATTCTTCCTGATAAAAGTTGTACGATCTCGTTCGACTTCGACATAATTGTCGACTATTCACTGTTGGAATAGTTTTCGACCACTTAGAATGGGATTGAAACCATTTCTGATTGCAATTAAGTTTTTTACGTAGGCCGAACGTGAGATTCTTCT